GTGGTGCTACTGTTGTATAAATTTGTCTTGCGCGGTTGAGTGAGGGAATCGGTCAAAAGTGTCAGCATGTTGACGCAAACAATACGAGGTTGAGTTGGGCCCAAAGGCACAGAGAGATTTACACAATCCGCCACCACATATGCCCTCGAGTACCACTCTACTGTATATACAATCGGATTCATTGTTCAAACGGGGACGTGGGGAGCATCAGGGGCTCCACGTGTCAAATCCCCAGAGCATCATTTAAAGAAAAGAGCATGGCAGCCTTGGCAGGAGCCGGACAATTAACAAGTGGCCCACAATACAAGACGTGACGTTAAATGGGTCCTCTTAATTTCACGATTTTTATTAGTTCATCCATTAAAACTCAAACGGTTCAAAATTCTTTCTTCTAAAATTTTTGAGCTCAGAATATTAGTGCATGTTCAGTATTTTATTAGGAAAATTAATGAAAAAAATTGAAAAAATTTGAGTTTTAATGATAAGTACAAAATAAAGGGTAAAGTGAATAGTATCAGGATTGACTTTTTAGTGTAAAAATGCGGTTTTTCGTTAAAGTGAACAGTACCGGGTGCTTTTCGTTAAAGTTCTCTATTTTATTTAAATTTTTTTATTATTTATCAATTTAAACTAGATAAAGAAATCTAAAAAGAGAAAGCCGCATGAGAGGGAGAAAGAGGAGAGAGGAGGGAAGAACGTAATCGATCATTGAAAGAAAGACAAAAAAGAAAGATGATCGGACAAGATAAAAAGAAAGAGAAGTGAGAATGAAGAAAGCATATTGGAGAATAGATAAAAAAAGGTTATAAAAAAAGAGAGATAAAGAAGAAAAGAGAGATAGATAGATTTGGAGTGAGAATGAGAGAGAAAAAAGAAATGAGTGAAGTTAAATTTAAAAACTTTAAAATTTTACTTTTTATGTTTTTAGAGAATAAACTATATTTTTAAGTTAATTTTGAGTTCAATTTTTTTAAATAGTCCTATCAAATAAGTATTCAAAACTTAAAACTTGAAAATTATTTTTAAATTTAAAAAATTGAATTCAAGTAGAATATCAAACACACCCTTAGTATTTAGAGAGGATCTCGGTATCCATAGCCTACCCTGCAAGTGCAGAAAGAACTGTGGAAAGTTAAGACAGGGCAGGGGAGGAGAAATGTCTAATGGTCCGATGGGTGTGCTTCTAGAGAATGCATGTGGATTGGAGGGATGCTACTGTAATTCTAACTCAGACCTTCTCCTCGTAAATTTTCTATTCTTCTATTTATTCTGCAGTAGTGTATAATATTCAAAACGGCCTATTTTTCAGTTCGTCTTTTATAGATCAATTTTTCAAAAAAATTAACTAAATTTTAACTATTTAAGTATTCAACTAACATTATCAGAGTTTCATTGTTTAACTTAATAATATGTTACTAAGTAATTTCATATTTAACTAATTTTTAATAGTTTTGTTTTCTTTTGTTTTTTTTGTTTAGTTGATAAAACATAGACAATACGAATGAAATTTTATTGATATTGAAAAAGAAGTTACATCTAGTTAGGGAGAATATAAACTTAACTCCTCATAATACAAGAAAAATGGATTAAAAAATGAAAATAAAAGGGGGATATAAACTTTACCATTCTAGAAACACAAACAATTAAAATACAAGGAAAAGAGAGGGAGGACATGAAACCTAACTCCTCTAAAACCAACAGTCTAAACCTGCAAAACAAATTAAGCAACATCACAAGGTGAATATAAAAAAACAAGAAAGTGAGTCAAACTTGTATGCCGACATGCAAATTAATTTGTGAAGCGATAATCAGGAAAGTCAGCATAGTTTAAAAATAAAGCAGTACAAGACGCAAACGGAGGGAATCATTTCATCATAAAGTTGGTGAAGAGAAGCCCATATTAGCAAAAATATATGCGAGAGGCATAGAATATTATCTTCTGAATACGGTCTAATAAATAAATCATTGTGTATGAAGAGGAAAAAAAAGATCAAAATTAGTCCATTGAAACTAATTTTTATAGTTCATTGTGCAGGTTACTATTATGCAACTAGAGTACACTTGAAAATTTTCTTGAAAGGCTAGCTTTCGGTACGGCAATGACGTGGACGAGATAGAAATGATAAAGTGAAGGGCATTAGGGTTAGGAGGGGCTGGCACTCTGCAACCCTAACTGGTACGGATCATCGAGGGAAAAAGGCTCTACAGCCACTTAAATATATGGCTTTTTATCAAAAATGGTCTGAAATTTGCATAAGACATCAATTTGATCGTTGAGATTAAAAATCAATAGAAATTATCCATCAGATTGTCCACTATCTATTATTTTAGTCAATCCGTTAAGTGTCCCGGAGCTCTTGGCCGAAAGTTTGGATAATTTTCAAAGTTTCGTAACCCAAATCGTTTATTAACCAAATTCGACCCATAATATTTCAAAATGAAGATAGGAAAGTGTAGAATAAGATTATACCATTTAGAAGCCCAATGGTTACTGGAGATGGCTGGAAAATAGCCTGAAATGTGACTAGTCCGTGGGAAAATTGTAAAACTCTCTGGAAACTAGGTAAATTTTAAACGTTCATAACTTCTTCAATACTCAACGAATTCGAGTGATTCAAAAACGAAAATCATACTTCTCAACGGGACGAAGAGAATGGTGAATTTCTCAATGGCTAATTCGTCGTGGTTTGGCCGGAAAATGGCTCGAAAATAGCTAACTAAAAACCAAGACAGCCACTTTCGAGCTGTTTTCTGGCCACACCACAATGATTTAGCCATCAAGAAAGACCATTCTCTTTGTCTCGTCAAGAAATACGATTTTCATTTTTGAATCACTCGATTTCGTTAAGTATTGAAGAAGTTATGAACGTTTAAAGTTTACTCAGTTCCGACGAGTTTTCTAGTTTTTTCCCCGGACCAGTCACATTCCAAGCCATTTTCCAGTTATCTCCGTCAACCATTGGGCTTCCAAATAGGTATAATCGTATTCTACACTTTCGTATCTTCATTTTGATATATTATAGGTCGAATTTGGTTAAGAAACGAATGAGTTACGAAGCTTTGAAAATTGACCAAACTTTTGTCAAAGAGCTCCGGGACACTTAACAGAGTTTTTAACGGAATGATCAAAATAATAGATGGTGTACAATCTCAGGGACAATTTATGTTGATTTTCAATCTTAAGAACTCAGAACCATTTTGGCTAAAAAAACCTAAATATATTGCCATATCACCCAACTTTCCTATCATCTGATTCGAATTACCTGTCACCAACTTCACGCGCAAGCCCCTCTCTCTCTCTCTCTCTCCCTCTCCCTCTGTGCGCGGATAACCGAGCCAAACTCCACAGGCGATGGCAAAAGAGGGACTCAGCAGCGTACCTTTGTAAACTATATATGTAGCAAAAGTTAGTTGCTTTGTTCAAACACTTTAGGAGAAGAATTACATGATAATATTAAATATTTTTATATTATTAACACAAAACGTTACAATGTAATAATGTATGAAGTCGTTCTTTACACTTTAGGGTTGTGATACTGGTTGGATTCAGTGATTAATTATTTGCAGTAAGACATGTAATCTCTGCGTTTTCTCTATCTTTGCCCTTTAAACTTCCAGACATGCATGCATACTCCTGGGTTCCGCAGGACAGTCACAGACTCGATCGTCAATGTTATCAACCCCATCGTTTAACTTTTATCCCTGAAAGTACTATTTCTTTCTTCTCAAATCTTCTTATTATGGAAACAACGAACGAACCAACAACAATAATAATAATAATAATAATAATACCTTCGCCCTAATCCTAAAGCAATAAAAATGAAGTTTTACAAAAAAATAAATGCCTACTTTTACTTATAAATACATAATTATATGCAAAATAAAATGAAACATAGATTATAAAGTAATAAAACATTTTGAAAAAATGGTGAACAAACATATAATTAGTGTTCATCCAAGTATCTAACAAGTCTCTTATAATTTCTTGAAAAAATAAAATAAAAATATGTATTTATTTATTTTCTGTCTAAGTTATAGTAGTGAAATAAGTAGGTCTATACAAACTAAGATGGCGTCTAGGTCTGTCTAATCATCATTTATTAATTTTCAAATGCTTAAAGATTGACCAACAAGATAACTTGGCGTGAACTTTAAGAACAATGTCAAAACTGATGTATCGGATACACTGACGTTTAAACAGTTAGACTAAAATAAAAGAAAACTAATGAAAATAACTTGAAAACTTTGGGTTTTAATGATAAGAATAAAATAAAGGATAAAGTAAATAATATCAGGTTTGACTTTTTAGTGTAAAAAAAAAGATTTTTCGTTAAAGTTAACAGTACTGCAAACTTTTCGTTAAAACTCTCCTAAAATAAACTAGCTACTATATATATATATATGTACATGTACATGTATATAACACACACATAACAAGAGCATGAAAAGTTACGGACAATTATAAATCTTCAAACCACTTGAATGTTTTTTTTTTTTTGAACAATTATAAATTCTGTAGCATAAGAAGAAAGAATATACATTAAATCTTCTAAATTAACAAAACAATAAAGAACAATACTTGACTATTCAATGATGAGTTGAAACTCTTACTTAAAATTCTTAGTGTTTTAATCGCAGAGTTTTGTGTTTATGATTAAAACCGTTCATACTATAAATTACATTGTAAAGATCATCTTTGTAAAAATTAAATTAAAACTAAAATCGTTGAATCAATCTTTTAGCAAACGTATATACGGTTCATAATGCTTTTACTATTACCGTTCATTAGTTTTTAAATAGTTTAATGATTAAACGATTTTAATTTTAATTGATTTATTTTAAAAGCTATATATATAATAATTTATAATATGAATGATTCTAATTATAAACACTAACTTTTATAAATTAACAAAAAAAATTTTGAAAATTTTTGAGTAAGTTCCTACTCATAATTGAGTAGTCAAATATTGTTCAACAATAAATGGAGAAGAAAGAAGAAATTACACTAAAATTACTACTGCATATAGAAAATTAAGAAATAAACATTAGGCCTTACATTTTTGGTGGTACAAACTTCACTGGTCAAACTTCAAAGAACCAAAAACAAAAAAACAAAAAACAAGAGAGAGAGTAATTACTATTTAATGGAAATGACGGGCACAGGTCAAGTCAGCTGCTAAACCTGATGAGAATGACAGGAAAAGGGAAGGGGGAGATGGAGAGGGAGGGAGAGAGAGAGAGAGAGAGATCGGCTATGACTTTATAAGTAGAGGTAGGGCGGGCAGGCTCGGAGCTCAACGATAACTCGCGGAGAGTGGTGGTCGGGAGCAGAAGCTAAGACCTAGAGGAGCAGCGGCGGGTAGCCATCACATCTATCAATGAGGTTCGATATATACTGCTGCAGACTGACGAGACTGATACAACACGGCGGTGGAGGTCGCTTGTGGTAAGCCGTTTGACTTCTTCCTTGTTAGGTAAGGAGATGGTAGTTGTCTAGCGGCATCGTTCGTCATCATCGTCCGCCATGATGCCGGCGTTCCGGTTGCTGTCCTCGTCCGTATCACACGCGGACAGAGGCGCGTCGTAATCAATATCGTGATGGTGAGGTGGCGGGAGCAGATGAGAAATGGAGGAGCTGCAGGAGGAGGAAGTGGTGGTGGAGGAGTGCGTTTTATTATTATTCTGGGCGCCAACGCCAACAATGGGAAGTGGTTCGGTCAGTTGCTTCCCGTCCCGAGGCGGGGAAAACACCACTGGCAGGTAGTGCTCCATCTCGCACGGGAACTTCGAGTTCTTGAAATGCTCCTTCAACGCCTCCAATCCCTTCATCCAATATTAATCCGTATTTCATTAAAATTATTAATCCTTTAATATATTTATTTAATTAACAAACAATGTTAAAATTAAGTCTTTCCAACTTCCGGAATAAATGAATAATCGTAATTTACCACAAGTTACCCTTCTTTAAAAAATAAAAATAAAAAAATTAACAAACAATGATGATTAAATTAATTAGTAGGTACCTGAACTCGAGCGTATGTGACTTCGCATATTTTCCTGGAATTGAAGACTTCCCAATGTTGATGGTGAAATGCCTTGTACAGCCTCCATGTTGCCTCCGGGGATGTCATGTTCACGAATCCATATCCCACATTGCACTTGTTACTGTGTTTCCCACAAACAAATAACACCACTCACATAAGATCTCAACGCACGAATTCGATATATTAGAAATGTGTACAAAAAAGATAAGTAAATGGAGATACACGTATAAAGATTCGTGGTGTGAATATAACCGCGTGTTATTATCCAAACCTATTCAAGGCGTTCTACACGAAAATATTTACTACATATTACAAGCTAATAACACATAACACCCTAAGCACGTAACATATCAACCTTGTGTATTTCCGACATTGTATCGTGTGTGCATCTCGCTTTATAACCAATTGTATCGTGTGCATTTCGCTTTGTAACCAATTGTATCGTGTGTATTTCGCTTAGTATTTTTATACCTAACTTATTATACAATTAACTAATATAACCGGCAATTAACTTATAAAACTCAATGAATGAAATGATGAATATGAAATAACCACGACTTGTCAATCGAAATCTATAGACAAACTTGTATATTGATCGTTTCAGAAATTTAAACTTACAAAATCGCTACTCTAACCACATTTGTACCATCGCTAATAGAGATAAACCCACCCAACGCATGTGGACTCTATTTCTGTTTGTAAGTGGTACAAACGTGGTAAATGTAGAATTACTTTATATTTTTCCATTTTATTGTAGCCGATCCCCTTTTTTTTTATATATATATATATATATAGAAATGCAAATAATAACAATAAATAGATTAAAAGAAAAGGATAGGAAAATGAAAATACTTGAAATCAATGGGAAGATAAACGAAATCGTAGGAGGAGAAGGGCTGCTTTTCATCATCACCACCACCATGATCGCCGTCGCTAATAATCTGCTCGTTGAAGTGAATACAGTGGTTGTCCAGCATGTTCAACAGCAGCTTCTGACTGCCACAATCCACCACCACCACCAAATCAACGATTCCAACATTGACACAACAAAAAAAATTATGAATTGCACTTCAAATTTTGATACGGTACCTGTACTTATTGGGTATGTTCTTGATCATGACGGTGGTTCTGGTTTCTCCGCTGGTGGATTCGGATATAGCTTCTTCTTTTATTAAAAATTTTGAATCGAACTTCTTCGCTTGTCTTCCCTTCTTCCCCCTACTGCTCCTCGGCTGCTTCGGCCTCGTTAGAATGGCCTGCAGGCTCTCCGAGTTCTCGCAACTCATCTTCTTCGAAGAAGAACACCTCTTCTCTTGAATTCCATCCAAATTCAAACCCGCCATTTTAGATTCAACATTGTTTCTGCTAATTACTATTCCCTTGCTGCTGCTAGAATTATTTGATCTATTATTATTCCTACTCGACGAAAACTGCACTTGTGATGAGGATGTACACAAACGAGGCGGCGGCGTCGCCAAGCTAAAACTGTTGGAGCGTCTAGAGAATTTTACAGCCAATTCCGCCGGCTGCGGTGGTCCAATGGCATTGCGAGGCGAGAGTAGAGTGGGGGCAGTGTGAGCCGCCGCATTCAAGTATTTCCTACTGTGACCGCCAGGCCGACTAAATTCAATGACAACTGATTTTCCGTTGATTTCTTTGCCGTTCATCTCCTCGAGAGCTCTCGCTGCGTCTCTGACGTCGAAGAACTCGATGAACTTTTGGTGCTTTTTCGAGGGCGTCTCTCTCAATTCCTTTACAGCACCTGATAAAATTACATAATTAAACCCAACAAAATTGAAATAAAATCCAGGTCCCATGTGCTCCCATTGGTCATGAAAAGCGTAGGACAAAGACCCATGAGACCTACCCCTTAATTATCCCAACAAATATCCGAAAAAATAAAGACGAGAAAATACAAATTAATGATGGGAATGTTACCAAAAGCTTGGAATATATCTTTCAAAGAGGAGGTGACGGCCGGGTCCAAATTGAAAATGACGATTGTGCCCTGGTTGTGGCCGTCCGGGACGGCTTTCAAGGCCGGAATGACGCACTGGGCCCACACGGCCTGCCCGGCGATGAGCCCGCGACCAGGAGGAAACGGAAGCGGGAAAATAGAAAGTGGCGGAGCTGATGTAGCCGTCGCGAACGACAAGGCGGCGTAGTGGTTGCGAATCCTGTCTTCCAGCTGCATGTGCTGCTGCCGAATCTCGCGCAACGCCCTCTCTGCATGCCTGAGATCGTAGAAGTGGACGGTCACGATCCCGTCGCACGCCCTGTCCATCTGCACCCACCTCACCTCCCCGAACCCCTCCATCTCCCTCCTCACAGTCCCCTCGCTGACGTCACTCGGCACTCCGCTCAAAAGCACTGCCCTCGTCGCCGCCGCTGTCGGAGGCGGCAACGGTGCGCATACAGTAGCCGCCGCGCTAACGTATGTGGCCGGTGCGGAGAACGGCGCGTACGGGACAACTTCGCTGATTGGCGGTGGTGGGTAGGGATAGTAAACCTGGTGGGGAGACGGAGAAAGTGGTAGGAGTTGTGGCAGCGGCGGAGGAGGCCCAAAAATGGGTATTTGGTTGGGGTGCCGATTTGGGTTACTGGGTCTGAACTCCTGGGCTCCGGGGTCCAGATTTCCCGGAAAACGTAGAGAGCCGGTATCTGCCATGCGGTGGATGGTGCCGGAAAACCACTAAGGAAGTAAGGAGAGGAGTGGTTTTCCGGTGAATAAAGACTGGGAGATATGAGTTGGGTATCTGCTCCTCTGGTCAAATTCCATGCTTATCTTCCCGAGTAATAGTAATAGTACATCTCTCTCTCTCTCTCTCTCCCTCCTCTTTCTCTCTGTCTCTCTCTGGAAAATGGTACTGAGATTTTAAGTCCGGGTAGCTATAGTAGAAAGAAAAGCAGGCAGAGGACAGATCACAGATGGCCTTGGGCTTGCCTTTTTTCCTTTTCCACTACTTTCCTTTTCATACCAAAGTGGCTAAAAATGTACTTTTATCCATCTACACACACCTTTCAATTACCATACTGCCCCGCCCTAAACAGATTTTAGTATTTTACCGTGGGACAGAGTTAATTCGTTGGGGGTGATGGGGTAATTGAGTCCCGGTAAAGGATTAGAATGAACGCGGGCCGTACACGTGGATGACAGGACGAATGGAGTGTGCGATGATGCGCCATCGAAGGGGATGGGAGCCTACGGTGGGAAAGGTACAAGTAAATAAGCTGTGACACAACAGAGGGATTTCCAGAAGACGTACTTGGACTCGGTCCAAAAAATTCAGCTGGTCAATTTCATTTAATTTTGGGTAATTTCTATTTTATTACCTCAAGTTTTACTAAAATCTTACATTTTTTTCATTTCACTTGCGTATTTAAAGTTTGATTTTTTTGCTATTTTGATACTTTCGTTAACTGATGACATGATAGATTATCGGCCCACTCATCTCACTTTACTACTCTTAAATATCGTGAAATTCGCACTTTGCAACCTTTAAAAAAAAAAAATTTCGATACTTGAGAGTAGTAAAATAAGAATTAGTAGGCCAAGATTATGCCACATTATCAGTTAATAGAAAAATTAAGAGGTGGGCTAGTACTTAGTAGAGGTATCAAAGTGGTAAAAAAATCAAACTTTATGTATGAAAGTGAGACAAAAAAAATTAAGTGTAGTAAAGTGCGATTTTGGCGAAACTTGAGGGTAGTTAGTGTGAATTACCCATTAATTTTTTAGAATAAAATTATATTTTACCACATTAACTTTAGGTCATGTAATAAAACTCATACCCCAAACTTTTTAACATTATATGTCATACCTCAATTTAGGAATTTGTCGCAATGTCGGATCTCGTTTAAATTTTCAATCAATTTGGCTATTAAATGATGACGTGACAAGATACAGGGCCCACTTCTCGTCCAAATGGATTTAATTTTTTTTACTAAATATTAATAAACTAAGAATTTATGATAAAATTAAAATTAATTAAAAGAAACGTAGAAGAAGAAGAACGAGAATGATGAGAAGGACAAAAAAAGATGGAACAAAAGAGGAAGAAGGATAAAAACTATGCCTTATTTTTGTATAAGTTTATAACTACTTGAATTACCATTTTTTTTTTGTCTTAGTGGACTAAGAGCTCGTTTGGATGTGCTTTTGAAATGATTGAAAGCGCTTTTGGTGAAAATATTTTTAAAACCAATCATTAGTAAATATGCAAGTAAATCCTAAAAAAATATTTAAAGTGCTTCCTGGAAGAAGCACATAATTGGTGCTTCTTGCAGAAAACACTTAAAGTGCTTTTGAAGCCCAAAAATATTTTTTCTAAAAGCGCTTTCATTCATTTTAAAAGCATATCCAAACGAGGCCTAACACTACGCCTTATTTTTCTTCCATAATTGTACATTAAATCATTTATTGTTGAACAAAATAATTAAATTTCTGTCATATAGTATTGGGAATTTAGGGAGCATCTGAAAAGAAGAAGAATTAATAGTTAAATATGTGAGTCAAAGAAAGAAACAATGAGACAGAATTATAGATAGGATGGTCCTGCAAGTGTATCCATGCAATATGGGAAACAGGGAAAGCTTTTTACTTGCTTGGTTCAAGAATATCCGCTGTTTGTTGCCTAATTATTATTTCCAATTCTTTTTATTTGTACCGGATATGTTTAATCATCGTTAAGAGAGAAGAAAAAGAGAGATTTTCTGAAATAAAACCCAGTCGGGGGAGGGGGAGGTGTCCGTGGGAACTGGGAAGGGGAACGGACTCGAAGGAGGAAATGAGAGGAAATGAGGGAAAATGAGAGAAGGCCGCTGACCCTTTAAGTCGGAGGCCAGCGGCGCTTGCAAAAGCTGCTAGGGTTTTTTTCAGAGAGTGTATCTAGAGAGAGTATTTCAAAAATGAATTAACTAAGGATTATGTTTTGTACCTGATATGTTTAATCATCGTTTTAGGAAAGGGATTATCTTCGGATTCCTTTTATCAAATCCACCTAATCACCTAATCCGGACCCTTGAAATTTGATCAAACGGTTAAAGTTATTATAACTTTTAAAGGGGCTCCCTATTTGTAACCGTTAGATTAAATTTCTAGGGCCCAGATTGACTGATTAGGTGGATATAATGGAAGAAATTCGGAGATGATCCATTTCCATCGTTTTATTCCTACATCTATACAGTTTGGTTGATGTCTGCAAGCAAGAGGGTGACTGCGGTGGTCAATTCCAGTTTTTCCAAGATTATCTTAGTTTTCTAGTGTTTGAGCTTGATTGTGGCGGTACATTGTGCTTAAATTTAGGGATTTGGATCCTCTCATAAGCAGAGGGTCTGAATCCTCCTGACCAAATAACAGGGGCCGTTGGATCAAAATTCAACGGCTACAAACATGAGATCTCTTTAAAAGTTATCTGTTCAGGAAGATTCAAACCCCTACTAAGGAGAGAATTCAAATCCTAAATTTAGTGACACGTGATATGTACGAGTGATATTAACTAATGATTTTTTATTAGTAGATGGAATCCTTTTATATGATTATACAATTTCAAAGTATATGGCTTAGGATCTCATGGTCCTTGAAAAATATCACTTTTAATTTGGATCCTTTTTTTATTTTATTTGTCAAATTAATTTGGATCTTCTTCATTAATCTCTTCATCATGCATTGAACTGTATTTTTTTTATCACATTTTAAAGAGATTATTTCTATAAAAAATTATTCATCAAATAGACAACTATTATTTTTCAGTTAAATTATTAAAATAATCACAACATTAACTAAACTTTTTAAGGACACGATAAAATTTGAAAGCAATTGCAAGAAAATCACCTCTGACATTAATATTTATCATAAAATATAGGCTCAAATGAGCTCGTAAAGCTCAAATGTTATCAAAGTAACATTTTTCTCCATCCATATGCTTATTTTTAAGGAGTTTTATGAAGCACTTTCGGTATTGTTCATTTTTAACGAAAAATCATATTTTTACTTTTTTCTGATACTATTTTTTTATCACTTTTTTTCTGATATCATTCACTACACTTTCATTTGTCATTTTTCATTAAAACTAAAGTTTTTTTGAATTTTTCATTAGTTTTCCTTAATCGCAACAAGACAAACTCAAATTTCGAATTGCTTCCACGAATCCACCCAACTTAGGCCATATCCAATGAACACATCTAAATGACCAAAAGTTAAAAAATTGCTTGATTTAAAAATAAAAAAAATCATTTTCAACCGATGACTGTGGATGATCGTGTTATAATTATCTGGAGCTCACTAGACCATTATTGGCCAAAAGGGGCATCATGCTGGTCAAGTGTAGCCCCCTCTTAGTCCTTTTTTGGCGCTCAACTCCTCAATTGTAATAATTAATTCAAATTTATTGACAAGATTTGAAAACATTCAAGGGTAGTTTAATTAAATTAACCAATAAATTTAAAGTACAAACTTTAAAGCTAATCAATTATTGCGAGGTTATGTTTAACCTTTTCGATTGAAAATGATATATAAGTATGACATAATACTGTTTATTTTAAAAATAATTTCTTACATAATTATAATTCTGAACATGACTATATTTAATCTTTCCGGTTAAAGATGACCTTCCATCCTTACTATCGAGACACGAGTAAAATAAGATGAACACGAACAAAGATCGTGCAAATGCAGTGCTGGCATATAGTAGTCAAGAGCAGCACACGTGCGCCGGAGTTTCCACTTTTCAGTTATGGGGTCCAAACATGAGATGAGACTACCAATGCCAATGCCCTCGATACTTTGCATGCTCTTGTCTCCCTCTCTCATATTTTCAAATAATAACTATGGTACTGTATGGTGACTTAGACACTAGTGGTTTGTTTTTTTAAATAAAAGACATGCATCGGAGATACGTGCAAACATTTCGATACGGTCTTTTTTTATTTACTATTTACCGCCTCTCCTCGTTATGGTCCATCTCCATTATTTACTCCTACTCAAATCTTTGAGCTTGGTAAAAGCTGTAGTTTATAAAATTGTACAACTATATCGTATATTGTCCTGCACAATTGACCACTAATGTCAGTATGGAAATTTTATCTAGAGAAATAGAACTCTTTCAAAAGTGAAATTGTCTAAATTCTCTCAAAAGTGGGATTTTCTAATAAATTTATGTCACCTGACAATTTAACGTCAATTCCCATGCTCACATTATAAAATATTGTGTCAAAAATATGAGGTGACAGAAAGTCTATAGTTTCCTTTTTTTATATCAAAAAATTTTCCTCGTACAGTCCAGGTTTTCCGAAGAAAAAAAAAAACCCATAGAAAGTCTAACTTTTGAGATAATTCCCTTAACATATCTTTTTTGGTTATATGATTACTTTGTTATTTATGTGTCAAAAGTTGTCTTACAGCATCTCCAAAGTAATTGTCAAAACTGTCACATAGACATATAACAGTAAAAATACTGGCATATTATCTCTAACCGAGCCAACCGACCCTTCAATCGTCGAGTCAATTCAAGGCAAACATTATGCTGTCAATATTTAACGATTTTTTAATAGATATGATGCAAAATATAATCAATGTTGTTGCCCATAAAGAGATAAAAATAAAAAAAGTTATAGAATCACATTATTATTTAACATATTGGATGGAGCAAAAAAAAAGGTACAAAATGTCACATTGCGATACAAGGCATCAAATACTATTTTGATGTTTCAAATTTGACATCTTATTTGAAGATGTTCTTAAGTACCAAAAACCGTATTACTTACCAGTTATTTTATCCTCCTATACGCTTGTGTTCATTATTTTCAATGATTCTTCTCATTTGATTGACAGAAAAAGAAGTGTGCGTGAGGCCAAAATTAATGTGTGCAAATCAATTGCTTTAGTTGAGTGACACTTAGTCTAAGCATGTTTCATATTCGATTCACTCGACACAATGACAATAGATATTTCTAGTAGGTTTAATAT